TTTTTTTTTTTAAAGTTAAACATTACACGTCGCACGCGCAAAACGTGTAAATTTTGTGTATTAATTTTGTTCTAATCACAAACGAACCTAGGTATCAACACCTGCATAACTGGATTGTAAAAGAGCAGGAGGCAAGAAGAGAAACCGAGAATCCCATTCCACGGGATGGAATTAATCTCGGGTTGCAATATCGTTATGGAGTAACCAGACAGGGAGAAGACCAGCAAGGCGTGGACGAAGAGCAAACTATAGAAGTATATTCTCAGCTTGGACCACTTTACCCAGAGGTACATTTCCACCAACGGATGTTGCAGTATCGTTTGTTTCATGTTCGTAGTTGCTGCAATAAGAGACATAACTACTTCCATTTGCAGCTTCTCTTTTGGTGCTAACACGGCGAAGTTAACGAATATCTTCAACAGAAAACAAGCATGTAAAGAAGGGAAAACATTTGACATTTTTAAAACAGGTAAGTCACGCTGTTTTTATTATCGTGTGATCTCTGGAATCCATTATAACGCACGAAGATGGAAACGAGATTGGCTGCCGTATTTTGACGAATATAAAATCAATCACCGTAAGTCCAGTTTCGGTTTTCGCGAGTAAATTGCCACCGTTGTCGATTAACATTTGTAGACATTCCGAATGACTTTTCAGAGCTGCTATATGCAATGATGTGTATCTTGGATATAAAAGGACGAAAAAAAAGAAAAAAATTACAAATCGTATACAGTATATAACAAATCGGTAAACTGACTATGATCAATAGAAATAATTGTGATCTCAAGAGCGATATTTATTAAAAGAAAAAAAAACTATTACAAAGTAGAAGATTAAATAAAGACCCTGTCTTAAAAGTCGATAAGATTGCGGGGTGTGGCTTCTAAAAGTTTACGAAGAACCTCTGCGTTACCCGCACTGGCGAAATGAAGAACAGTTAACATTAATCTTTTGCACCGATGACAAGGCCACGCGTTTAGTAACGTTTCCGTCGCCGACGCTTCCGAGACTTCCTAGCATAGATGCAATATGCAGTGGCGTGATACCTTTTTGGAAAAATGAAATCGGATTAGAATCGAATACAGTGCAGGAGAATCAGAATATAACAAATGAAAAATCGATCCATTTTGCAAAACTATATGCACTTTGGAAAAAAAAAATCTCGCGAAAGTTGAATATACAAATTCAAATCACTTTAACCATGTATGACGCGTATTAATTATTCTCAACTAAAAATTCCGTGACTTTGATGATGTTTCACGGTTTTAAATGAACTCGATAAATACCTGTATTAGAGTGAACGATATTTGGCGAAGCCCTTGCACTCAGAAGAGTCTGGACGATGCTACTATGTTTCGAAATTTCATTCAATTTCTTTTTGTTTACTGTGGATCCTGCCAGAATGTAAATCTTCATTGTTCATATTGAAGCACAAGCTTCCACTAGAAACTTGACTACTTCAGCGTGATGTAGTAGCTGATTAAAATTGTGATTAATTAATGCTTTCACTCGAGATAATGATAAGGAAACATTCTTAATAATTAGCAAAATAAATGAAGAATTTATAACACTAACATATTGATCGATATTATTCTTACGATTCAAAGGTCCAATAGAAACAATTCTGAATCCGATTTCATTCTGTGTAGAAACTTTCTTTTCCAATAACCATTTCACCATCTTGTTATTTCCACGATGCGCCGCGTAATGAATCGCGCCTCTTCCGAAATTATCTGTGGCGTTATTAGCTCTTTCATTATATAAAAATTCCATAAATTGGACACTCCTCCAAGCTATCAAGTGAACAAGAGTTATCTCAAACCATCCAACCCACCAGGCTTTTATATTTTCATGGAATCTTCTGGTAAAAAATTCGATCGCATTTCGATCGCAAATTTCTGAACATTTGAATTTCCTCTTCATCGTACAAATCTATTATATTCATTGATACTGTTTTATACTATAGTACAACTTGCGTTACGATTTCACGCTTTTGCTTCACACTGACGTCCAATCAATGTCGGTTTCGAATATACCATAATAATCGCAGTTCACGTAGAAAAATCGGTTCACTAAAAAAAATGTATCTGTCGTATCTCAGATACGACAATGATTATAGCAGTATATATAATGTATAACGATGAATCACGATAAATAATAGAAATTTATTAGGTAGTCTACTGTGTTTAAGAATTTTTTTCTTGAAAACTCTATCGGCTATAAAAGACATAAGAAACGTGTCAAATTCAATAGTTAGTACATTGAATTTTTACGATTCATATTGCAGTGAGTCATGATTAGTTAAACGATAAATATACAAAAATAAATTTCGATGCATTACGTCTTGGCTAGACAGTGAAAAAATGTTTTTCTATTACCGATTTTTATGCATTGAGAAATTGAAAGACACAAAAATACATAGAATGTATATGGTACATGAAAATATGTAAAATATTCAAAATATGGTGTTTGTTATAATATTTAATGGGTGAGACAATTTCTATCTAGGCTCGCAGATTATTTTCGCAAAAATCTAATTCCACAAACTAATTATTACTTGTTGTTGAATCATTTCGACACCAACTACTTTATGAACAATAACAGATTCATTGAAAAACGTAAATGTAAAATAAATTCTAGAATACTTAAAAAAAGCTATTTCCCCTCCGAGACCGAGACAAAGAGAAATTCTTGAAAGGGCTAAAAACCAAGTGACTCCCCCATAAATTCGACGCTAGAAAAAAACGAAAAAGAAAAAAGAAAGAAGCAAAGATCGTTCATTCGATTCGAACCGGTTCCCCATCAATATCTCTTCCAACCAGCTCCAACTCGCCTAGTCATCGATTTACCTCCTCTCTTTCTCCCCTTATTTCCTCAACCACCCCCCTATTCTCAACCTTAGCCCAATTCCAGTTCTCCAAGCTGATGTATCTTCGTTCGGTCGCATTCCTGTCGCTACTGTCCGCTCCGTTATTTGCGTACACACGCGAACGAGGTATACCGACTGTCGTTGAATACTCATGAACAGCCCTGTTACTTAGCTATGCGTTTTCGATAACGAATCTGTCAACAATGGATAACGGGATCGGTCTACCAGCAGAGCGATTTCATCCATCGAAGAAGTCGTACCTCTTCAGCAAGCGACCGTTAGCGATTATCCGTCCGTGTTGTACCTGGTCAACACGCAATCGCGTGTTGAAGACACTTCGCTTCCACCGCAAGTTCAGGTGCACTCATACTCGATGTACGTTCACGTAGAAACACGATATACGCGTGTCTGTATACAGGTGTATACAGGGTGTTCAGGTGATCGTGGCATAACCGAGCCGAGGGGTGATTCTGTGTGCAAGGATAAATTGAAAAGAGAGAACGAAATTTCGTCCGTCACATTTTCACGAAGATTCGTCGAGTACAGTCGAATTTCATTAATTCGGAACTGAATAATCTATATAGGGGAGGTTACTCTATGGAATAAAATGTTTCGTATTCGTATATCTACATCATGAAAATCGCGTCATCTACTTGTTGCTTCGTCATTATATTTTATCACGACAGTACAAAAATATCAAATGATTTACTTGTTAGTTCCTAGATTTGAAATTGTAAGTGTAAGTAGTTATAACAAATTATAGAGCAATCCTCTTCATAAGTAAACTAAATTAACTAAATTACAGAGGGTCAAGGTCTCGAAAAGTTTAGTTAAGAATCGGCTTAATACACGTGTACTGATAAATCTCCAAATTTAATTTTCTCGATAACGAAGCATCTCCCGACGCCCCACGATTTTATTCTACACGGTTAATTCGACTTGTTTATAATTTCATCTGAATTATTCTCTCCTGGCCAATTTCTAAAGTAATCAAATCCAAATACACGGCCATAATATTTTCAAACTCGTATTTTCTCTCGGAAACGAAGCCTTCAAATGAAAAAGTGTTCTGTCCTTCCATTTTTCCACGTAGAATCATCCCCTGACCGATTGTACAGGAGCACCCCGTATATATTTACGTAAAGGCACGTATACCTACATAAATAGTGGAGATACCAGTTCCGAAGTCGAACCGACGCGACCTTAACACAGGTTTCTCGTACGCGCGCACACACGGCCGACTGGCGTTAACACACGTTCGTACGCTCAATCAACTAGAGAGAATCGCGTTACCTTGCAGAACGTACGGGCCCAGTACGCGCTTGACCACGCTGTTGAGTGGATCCTGTTCGACGCTTCCGTAGTTGTTCCAGGCCAGAGTTCCATCATGCCCAACTGTCCGAAGTGCGACAAGCCTGTCTATTTCGGTGAGCATTTCTTTCTTCTTCTCTCGCACAACTCGCACACTTTTCGTGGAAATTTTGAATTTTCGCTGGGAATTTTTGGGAAATATTGTAAATATTTTGCCGAGTATATACATATATATGTCTTCTGTTGATTTCGTTAAACTATGGCTTTATTCTCCGACGTAATTTTTACGCTTCTTCGGGTAGGAATTTTGGGATGGATATTTTGCGTAGTCTGGCGAGTCTGTCATTCACGTTCAAGAGATTTTATAGAAAATGAGAAATTCCTGTCGGAAATGAATTATATTTCGATGAATATGCTGATGGTACGTCGCGATACGTTTTGGAGTGCTTTCCACGAATGTACTCGATGAACAGCTGAGTTTGATCTGTTTGTATAAATTTAACTCGTTGACAAACATTGAATGGCAGCATCGCAAAGTAACTCGTACATTATAGTATACTGAGAGTACCGAATTTGAAATATAAATGTAATTTTTCAAGCTCAAAGTTCATCGAGTATTATCAGAAAGTACAAATGGTGCACCAAAATGATCTATAGCTAACAGAATTAAGTTTCTTAATCCTTGTGATATTTCAAATAATTTGATCTTTTCCATATCGTGATGACATACGGTAGGGAAAAGAACGGATCGTTTAATCGATAATTATAAACGTTGCCCAATCCTCCGTAAGTCGCATAATGACGCATAATGCTACCAGTTATACCGAACGTGTACAACATGCGTCGCAGAATTATGTTGAATACGCAGCGTTCTAAGACACGCGAAAATCATTCGGAATTTGTAATAATTATTAAGTTTGAAACCAATCGAACAAAGTATGATCGATGATTTCGATCGACGATTGTTTTATTCTGAAGAGGCAGATTATAATATAATTTAAGTTAATACAGTTGGGATTTGCGAGGAGCTGAAAAGGGAAGATATACACATACTTAAGAATGTTGTAATTGTTGGAAGTGTTATTAAAAATTCTGGCCGTTTCGTGTGCAACGACCCGACACGATCGTGAACATCCTGCTGTAGAGAATTCGCGTCACGACCGCCTCGTCTCGTTCGTGTGCAGCAATGTGCGTGAAATGACGACACGAAATGATGTCATTACACGTCCTCGCGGTCCACCTTGACAAACATTATGTCAATCTTGTTCTGTTGTGTACGACTGTGTGTCGAGTAATACGACTCACTAGGAAGGAAATTTTATACAATGAAATGTATCGCGCTTGATCGAGTATTCCGACATGTCGTCGATCATGTTGTCACGATTGTTCAAAAATCGTTTTAAATTTAGAACGTCGTACGTAGTACTTTATTTATTTATTTATTTATATAATTTCAAGCGTACTTTGTACCGCGATAATATGATAATGTTTGATTATCAAGAGCATACGTTTTTATCTTAATCGATGCTGCTAAAAGAACCACGAGTTATAAAATGCTCTATTGTCCTCGATATTTATGATAATAACCCCATTCAACGCTATCTACAGAATTACTACGTTTAAATGGCAATTAACATTGGTATTGTAATTCCTATTTTTATTCTGGAATATTCGACGATTCTTTCGAGACGTTTTACGTTTGTTCTATCGTAGCTATTGGTGTATTACTTTTCATTTTCTTGAATTTCCAAAATTAATCTTGACTTTTCACGATTCATTGTCATTGTCGAAGGTTCGAAGAAATCTTTTAATTTCTACATTGCGATATTTAATAGTTTTTTTTTTTTTTTTTTAAATTGAAAACTTTAACTCGACCAAATCGATTCATTCCTCGTCAAACTGCAATCACATATTTATTCATTGCCGTTGTTTAACATTTAACGTTTTATCTCTCTTTTATCAATTCAGCTTCTGTCAATCACCAGATTATCATGTTCAATCTCGATTTTTATGATCATTCATTTCTGTCTTAAGAGTCGAAGCTTCAAGCTTCAACAATCTACAAAATACAAAAACATATGACTAGACCGCAGATATTTATGCAAATTCACATTTTAAAGAGCTTCGTCTGTGAGATATCGCAAGGTGCGCTATATTTTGAATATCTTACAGAAATCACAACAGTGCGTAAAAATCCGCGCGAGTCTACGTAATTTCCAAAGTTCCGGAAGTTTCA